CTCGGCGTACGGGTGCTGAGCGTTGGCACGCGCGGGCCGCTGTACCTGGCGCGCCTGGCACAGATGTCATGATTGCCACAAGCGTGCGTGTCACACGTCCGCCGCCCGCCTCGACGGCTGCGGCGGCGGACAAACAAACTTCAAGTTTTTGAGTGAGGATGAGCATGTTCATGACTTGATCTGTACTCGACTGTCGTCAGGACCCTCTCTCGTTTTTTTTGCCGCCGCTGTGAAGCGTACAACACGGATCGCCGCAGTAGGCTGCTCGAGGAGCGTTGCTGTGGCCGTGCCATGTTGTCCGCTTCTCGGTGCCGTCTCGGACGACTGCTCAGGGGTTGGCATCCGCAGTCCAATCGTGCTCCAAGCGTTGTGCTCCATATCTCAAGTGATGTGGACAGTGAAACACTGCTGGTCGCCCAGCAGCCCCCGCAGCGCGCGGTTTACCTGCGCCCGTCCGGAATGGGGCTGTTTCCAGGCTTGGAGGCCTTGAGGCAGCGGGTGGCCGCCAGTGAGGAGGAGCCTCCAGGTTTTTTTTAATCTGGATGGTTTACTTTATCCATTGGGGGGGGAAGCTCTTCCTCCTTATCCTCCTTTTCCCTCTCGTCCTCCCCCTCCTCCCCCTCCTCCTCCTCCTCCTCCTACTCCTCCTCCTCCTCCCCCTCCCTCTGTGAGAGGCACCCCAACCCCCCTGTGGCCTCGAAGAGGGCTCAGAGGAAACTTCTCTCGAAGGTCAGAGGCCTTCTTGGTGGGCCGACTTTCCACCAAGAGTACCAGATGTAAGGGAGGGAGGAGGAGGAGGAGGAGGAGGAGGAGGAGGAGGAGGAAGAGGAGGTGTATGAAGTGGACGTGGAGAGGAGACGGAGGAGGAGGACCTCCCATATCTTCGTCTTCTCCTCTCTACCTATGGCAGCGGAAAGTTTGCCCATCACTTTTGACCTTTCCGAAGGTCCGCCCCCGCTACCTTCCCCCCTGGTCGCGCCGCCGACGTCTCGGGTAGGCAGGAGCGCCACCCCAGACAGGTCGATCGAGAGATGCTGCAGCGGTTTTCTCGGCGTTTTCATTCGCGGTGTGCTGGCTTCGCTGAACGGCGCGTGTTTTGCCGTTCGCGTGTGGCTGTTTTTGACGTCGGTCAGTTTCTCCGCCTGGGTGCGCATAACGCAGTGGTGCGCGCACTCATGAACCGCATCCTGCAGTTTTCGCTAAAGGTCGTTCTGCTAAAGAGAGGTCTGTCAATCCTCGGGTCCCCTCAAGGCTCGTGGATCGGGTGTTCGGTTGGTGTGATTTTTCCGACCCAGACCTCAAACGACATGATTTTCTCATCAGCGAAATGTTCTTCCTCATTTCGGACTCAGGGGGCGCTTTCGGGCACCAGGGCGATAAGACTTCAAAGAGGATCGCTAAACTAGTTACCCGTGGAGCAGGGGCCTGAAAGTCGAGCAGCGGGCAGAACAGCAACGCCATCTCAGAGGCTGCCTGGGAAGCCTCCTCGACACTCCAGAGGTCCTCGGGACCTGGGAGGCGGTTTCCACACGCTGCGCCCCGCCGAGCGCGCTCCGGGGCTGCCCGGCTCGTCCCGAACGGCGGCAGGAGGCCCGAGCCGTGGCCCGGAAGCCGGGGTTTCCGTCGCACCGGGAGAGGGGGGGCAGAGCCGAGCTCCGCGCGCACCGTCCTCGGCCTCGCGGGGGGGGGCCTCCGCCCCTCGCCGGGCCCCGGGGGCCGTCGACGGCACGGCTCACGGGAGGGAGGAGCGGCCCGCGGGCAGGTGTCGGGACGTCCGTCGTCGGGGATAGAATCAGGAGCGGATGGAGGAGGTACACGTGCGCATTGCGCGACCGTTCATATCACGCGGCTAGCCTCGCGGACTGGGGGGCCGTATTCGTATACGTGCTTGGGCGCGTACGTCTTGTGTAGGCTCCCTGTACAAGAACCCCCAGCGTTGATAGCACAATAAAAAAACAGCCAAACTTAGGTTTCCATCTTTGCATTCAGGATCGTGAGTCTGGGTAGTTTGGTTTGGCACACCTGCTGGAAAGGCCTCCTGTCCCTTCTGTTTGTGGTCGTATGACTTGGGCCCGCTCCCAAAGGAACAGGGGTCCCTTACTTGCTAATAAATTTGTGGACCCCGCACTGAACGAACAGAGCAGCGGCACACAGTTTGCGGAGGTCGGAGCAAGCCTGTCAAGTTTCTTCATGCGCGGAGCAGTCCCGCCTCTGCTTGGACGACGTGCCTGCAGGACCAGCTTCGACGTACCAGACTGAAAACGGCACTTTTGGGCCAGATGGTGCCCACCATGCGTGCATTGGAGATGGAGGCGGAGGAAGAGGACGCAGAGATCCGATTTATTGTTTGTGGTCGGTGCGGTCCCCCTGGAAGTCCCAACTCTTTCCCCAGGGCTGGTTTCTCATCCCGGGTGGTTTTGTTGACGGTCTTGGGGCCTGGCGAATGGCCCCATGGGCTGAAAATGGAGGAGATCTCAACATCTTTTTTTCAATACGTGGGAGGCTTGGGGATCAGGAGGAGGAGGAGGAGGAGGAGGAGGAGGAGGAGGAGGAGGAGGAGGAGGAGAAGGATCGAATCATTACAACGGCATGAGCGCAAACACTTCCGGAGGTCCTCTGGCGGCGGCCCTGGCGCTTCGCCCGCCAGGGAGGGGGATCCCAGCTGAGTGGTTTTGCAGGCACGTCGTTCGAGCAGGGTTGGGACTGCTTCACGTTTGCAACCATGCCTCCCACGTGAGGTCCGAGTGGCTGGGATCGGCGGGTCACGCCGCATCGCCGATGCACTAGCGAGGCGGCTCGGTCTGGAGCCCGATTATCTCCACGTCGACGTAGCCGATGCGTCGCCGAACTCACCGATGCAACGGCGATGCATCAGCGATGTGGCGCGATCCTTGGACCCGTCTACGCTCGGACTCCATTAGGGAGGCCTCTGTTGAAGCTTGACAGGCTTGCTTGAGGGTCAGAGGTGGTCATAACTAAGTTACAGCCCCTGCGCGCTTCGTGGGTCTAGCACCGATCCAAGAAATGTGCGCGGACCTCCTGAAGTTCATGCTGGTGCAGTTTTTCCTTGTAGGGGACTAGTGCTTGAGGAGGTTCGACGAGGCTTCGAGGTCCGAGCAGCTCTGTCTTATTGAGATGTTTGATTGATGTTGGCTTCGCGTTCTAGCCGAAACACATGCAAGGAGAGTTCCAGGCGACGATGTCGAACAGGCGGCTGACAAAGACTTCCACAAGTTTTGGTGGCAATGTGTGGCTCCTGCGGGCCCATGCCGAGCCCTGGGACTCAAAACACGACTCTGGACGAGACGCCCCGCCCTGGGAAGGGGCTCGAGAGGTCCAGGCGCCCCGCACCGAAAAGATCACCACGTCGGAGGTCTGGGTCTCCGCCTCCCTTTCCCCAGACGCCACGAGGTCGGTATCGGCGATCGAGGCTCGAGGCGCTTGGAAGTCTCTGGGGCTTGTTTGTGGGCCGCTTCCGGGCCGAGGGCCATCTTAGCACCGCCCCGCCGCACGTCACGCCGCCTTTCTCTGGCCCACCACGCTTCGGCGCGACGCGCCAACCACGTCCCGGTCTCCAGGCGTCAACGTCCCGAGCTCCTCCCCGCCACGCGGAGCGGAGCGACACGCTGTCCGCTTGCAGGGCACGCGCGTCTTTTTCCAAGCCGCGGGGGCTCGGAGTGCCTGGCCCTCTGCACCCCCCTCCCCACGGAGCAGTTTTTCCTCGGCGGTTGACAGGACCCCTTGCCTACCAGGTCGATTAGCAATCTGCCTCTTGTCCTGATGTCGCTGGGGTGTTGCGGGGCCGCACTCTTTCTGGGCCTGCTCCCACCAGGTCTGGTCCTGGGTCGTGTTCACGAAAGGGTGGTGTGGTAAAGGGGGCGATGCCCACCCCCGATATTCATCCCAGAACAGTTCTTGTTGAGCCGTCCTCACTACGAAACCGCACCAGGGACCATGCTGGCTGTTTGACGCTAGATCTGTGCCCCAGTGAGTTTGGGACGAGCTCAAGACCTCGTCGTCCAGGCCAGGCGCAAAATTTACCGAGCTAACGACGCCACCCCCTTTCTGGACAAGACGAACTGGTGACGGATTTCTTAGAGGTGTGCACTTGCGTAGGATCTGCAACCGCTTTTTACGGTCAGATGCTCCTCGTTGCGTGTGTGGGTTGCTCACTATGTTTTGCTCTGAATCTGAATTTTGGTTCGGAAGTAATGAATGTATCGTGGGGGATCCGTATGACGATCTACGCAGAATTCTGTAAACATGGGGTACGCTGTACAACTCCGCAGACTTGGAGTACGCTGTACATTTCGTCGACCCGGTTCCGCGCCTCAGTGAGCTTGGGACCGTCTCCAGACCTCGTAGGCCAGGCGTGGGACTGAGGTGTTTCCGATGTGTGGCCGTATGGAAACACAGCAGGTTAATGCCGCGTTGACGCGGCTGCGATCCCACAGCGGGCCAGAATCGTCTGACATTGGACGAGACACGCTATCGGAGGGTCCCGATCGTTCAAGGGTGAACGATCCGTACGGTGTCGCAAATCAGCCACGCGCAGAGGGGGGTACGGGAGGGCGGAAGGCTTCTTATAAGAAATCTTGATTCTTAGAAGGCGCGGGCCTCGTCTACAGATGCAGGGGTGGCTCATCCTATGAAGCAGTCTCCTTTAAGAACTAAGAAGCCTTCCCCCCTTCCAGGGCTGATTCCGATTCTCCCGACTCGATTCGATTCGATTTCGATGGATTCCTGTTCCGATTCGGTTCGACATGGGATTCCGATTTGGATTCCGATTTCTCAATGGAGGCCTACTAGCCTGCCGATTTCCGCCGATTCGACTTTTCCCGACTCGGCTGCCGGTTTCCGCCGATCCGATCCATTTCGATTGCCAATCCGACCGATCGATTCGATTCTCGGCTCTCCTGCCCTTCCCCCTTTTTGCCCCCCTCCCTGCACGCCGCCAGACACCGACGCACAGGTCTTCTCGGCGCGAGCCTGCAGTGGCCATGCTGGCTCCAGGCGAGGCCTGCCTTGGGGCCCCGGGGCGGTGCCCGATGGCGGCGGAGCTGCTGGCCCCGCCCACGGGGCCGGCCCGCCTGGCGCCGACCCTCGCGTTGGCGAGTCCGCCGAAGGCGCCGCTACGCCCACCCCGGTGATTTTCGAAGGTGGGGTGCGGAGGGGTGGGGCCCCAATTGGATAGGAAGGGATCCAAGGGTGGAATTACACTGTTTGAGGCACTTCGTCCTCAGGACCCCATCCCGCAGGGAATCCGCCGAAGGCGCCGGTGCACTTTTATTCCAGCGAGCGGGAGCCCAGTGGCAGAGTGAGTGCAGGGGGACGACACGACACGACGACGAAAACGACGGAAGGCAGACAAACGACAAGCGCGCGGGGTGGGGAGGGGGAGGGGGGAGGGGAGATCAGATGAGGAAAAGGTACCCATACCTCTACCCTTTCCCTGCTTTCCCCCTTGTGGGCCTCCTTGGAGGCCCTCGTTGCCACCGCTTCGAAATCCTAGTCAGAACGCACCCCGGGAGAGGTCCGAGGAGTAGCGGGATCGGTACCTTTTGGTTTCCCCAGGAGAGGGGGAGGGGGGAGGGCAAAGGAGGCGCGCCAGCCCGCGCCAGGACCAGCTGGTTTCAGCCCCCGCCGGCCGCGGCTGCGCGCTGCCCACCTCGGTGATTCGAAGATGGATGGGGTCCTGAGGGGAGGGGCCCTAAGGATAGGAAGGGATCCAAGGGTGGATTTACACTGTTTGAGGCACTTCGTCCTCAGGACCCCATCCCGCAGGACCCCATCTCTGAAACACTGGCTACTCATGCTGTCGAGATCCAGAGTGAGGCGGCGCTGCTTCATCAAGGCTACCTTGCATCCCTCCTTCGGCCCATCCTGAGCCAGTGTTTACGTCCAAGCAGCTTCGAATGAGTACAATGGGGCTTCCAAATGTCTTGCATCCTTACCTTGCTTCCTTACTATGGGTTTTGATAATACACCACTCTCATGCCTTTCCAGGGCCATCCTGGGCCATGGATAATTCGACCCTCCTGGCCTCGGCCAGGACGCAGACAGTGAAGAAGTCACGGCGGAATGTGTTTGAATATTGTTCGTTTCGGGAAGGCCTTCTACCTATACACCGGGCCATCGGGCCATCAAATCACGACTCGGGATCATAATTTTGCCCCGGTAAGGGGCCCAGAACTCGTGGGTCCGGCGTATGGAAAGAAACGCCAAGAAATTGGAGGTCTGGGCAGGACGGTGGAGAGACCCTCCTGGCATGCCAGGGCCCAGGATTGACTTGGCCATGCATGGTTGGTGGTGTGCAGTCAAAGGCAGCGCTAGGCGTGTTCCAGGTGCCTTGCATCCTGCCATCCCAGGTGCGGCTGGAGTAGGTGAGGTCGATGGATCGCGCTGCATCGCCGATGCATCGGCGACTCGGCGCGATCCAGAGTCTGATTCTTTGTGTCCCGACGTCACTAGTGCGTCGGCGATGCATCGGCGACGCGTTTCGATTACCCGACCCCATCTTCTATGGCCCCATTTTCTTGACATCGCTCGGACGTGTGCGCTTTTTGATGGATAATTGTGCGAAGCAAAAACACAAGAAGCCGCAATCATGCACGGGGAATGGACGTCCGAGCGATGACACGTTTTCCGAGGCGGGGGCCACCGCCTGGGGGATCGATCTTCGGGGACATCCGCATGCGGTGGATGTGCATGTGTTCGGGCCCCGGGGGGGGCCAACAACATCCACACCCACCGCCCTCCGAGGTACCAGAAGATCGACCCCAGGCGATGACTAAGGATAAATCCCCGCCTCGAAAAATTCGGGATCCGCCCATTGTACCCTCACTCCCCATTTCTTCACAGCGTGACCCCGCAGAGGTCTGGGCCCCTTCCAGAGACCTGTTTTTTTTTCTCCTGAGTGGTTTGTTTGATGGCCTCGGGGCCCAGCGAGGGCCCCGGGAGGTCGAGCCGAACATGCGGGCGTTCGTTGAGGAATGTGCCTAGGAGGCTTCACGCCCTGGAGGATTCTTAATGATGAGGCCGGCGGTTACATCTATGGCAGATCCACGATTGGAGTTGCACTGGCTTCCAGGCCCTCGCCGTAGGGAAAAACCCTCCGTCGGTGATTCGTTTTGCGACGCGGGGGACCGCGAGCGGAGGCCTGGCCGTCGCCGCAGGACCGCGCGGTTCGTCCTCCTCGCTCTCTCCCTCGCCGTCGTCCTCGTCCTCTTCGTCCTCTTCCTGGTCCCGTCCTCGTCGCCCTCACCCTCGTCGTCGTCGTCCTCCTCCTCCTCGTCCTCCTCCTTCTCCTTTGGGGCCTCCGCCCTCGCGACTGATCTGGCCCCGGCGGGCCGCCCCCGCGTGCGCAGGCGAGGGGCCGAGGCCCCCGCGGCGCCGCGGCCCGGGCGAGAGGGGCAGGCGCGGCCGCAGAGATTCTCCCGGGGCGTCCAAGAGGGGTGAGGGCTGAGGGTGTGCACGTACACATGTGTATATATACGTATATATATATATATATATATATATATATGCCCTGTAGCTCTGCTTCCCTTTTTCCTTGCGCGAGTCGAGGGGATCTGCAATACATGTTGATCCGTAGTTTTGGTGTTGCTCGAGCATAGACCGCGCGGCACAGGCTGTACCCCCTGTGTTCAACGCGATCCTGCATCTCGGTCACTACTTCGAGTGGGGTCGCCAAAGAGGCCCCGTCTGCCCCAGCCTGGAGTGCCCGGCCGCGCCAGTCATTCCGCCGTGCCCCACTTGCCCGTCGCTGCAGTGCCCCGCGGTGGTCCCCTGCGAGACGAGTGGCGCTGCGCCCGATTGGCTGAGGCAGCTGGAGGAGGTCATCGCGAGGGTCGGCCGACTCTCCGCATCGTCGTCGACGCCTACCCCTTGTCCGCTCCCCGCCGGGGAGCCCGAGCCGTGCGACCGGTGGACGCTTGCCTTCCAGCTTTTCTGGATCGGGCTGCTCTGCGGCGTGTTGCTGACTCTGACGCTCGGGTGCGCCTGCGGCCAGTGTCGACGTCCCCTCCGACGGCCCTCGCCTTCGGCTGGCCTCGCGCTCGCGGACGTGGAGACGCCAGAAAGCCGGAAGCTGCGGGCTGAGCTGCCGCGATGAGTCTGGACATACCAGAGAGACAGATATTGTTTCATTATCCTGATGATGCGATTCCTCACCATCACTGAGTACTGTTGGTCAAGTTGGAGGGTGCGAGATGGATCTGGTCTACCCCCGACTTCTCGGTGCGGGCGGTCGACTTGTCAGATCGGGCGGCCGTGGTGTCGATGATCCCGCTGCAGCGCAACTCGCCGTACCCTCCCAACTTGCATGTGTACGGGTTCGACAACCCGATTGACGCTCAGGACTTGGCGAGGATCAGAGCGGAGGGTCGGGCGCTCGCGGAGATCCTCGGAGCGCCCGTCGCCGCCGTGGCAGGTGCGGCTGTGCCCGACGGCGCCGTGTGCATGTACTCGGACCCGTCGTGCAAGTTCTTCGCGGAGGAGGTTGACGACAATCTGCTGGGCTCAGAGGCGACGACCGTGGCGAGGGGCCCGGTCGCGCTTGTGAAGCGCGGCGACGAGTGGACGACGGCAGAGCGGGTCCCTCCGAGAGACAAGCTACGCTGGATGCAGGAGAAGTTGTGCGGCGAGAGCAGAGGTTCGATATTGCTACCCTTGCAGCTGGATCCGAACACGCAGACGCGCTCAACGACCTTGAGGGAGGCCGTCAAGTTACTGAAGCAGTCGATGCAGGCCGACGGGTTCCCCTTCCAGAAGAGTCGTTCGATCTTGGAGTTAGCCAAGGGAGTGGCGGCGTCTGGGCACGAGTTCGGCACGTACCATACTTTCTGGGTGAGAAGCAGCACGGTGGGGGAGCGCACGGCGGTCGCCATCGGGCATTTCCACCTGCTGATGCTGCTGCACATGATGGTGTGTTATGATCAGTTGAACTTGCCTAACATGGCCGCGGCGGAGTTCGCGTCGCGCCGGGTGCTGATGATCCAGCGGGCAGTGCGCCGCAATCCTCGGAACCCCGATTTTGAAGGCCTCGACTCGTTCATGGCTCACGCCTTCGATGCCAGCGGAGGAGTGGTCACGACGCAGTTCGATCAGGAGATGGCCGAGATGCGCAAGACTCAGGCCATGATCATGAAGAGCGATCGTTTGTTGAAGGAGGAGTCTGAGGCCGACTCGAAGCGCCAGAAGGACGGCAACCACAAGGACAATGACAAGGACAAGAACAGCGACCCGAAAGGGTCGCAGGGAGGATGATGGCTCTACGGTCCCGGGGTGGCGTTGTTCGCCGTGGCGACACTCCGTATCATGATCCCCGTGTGGGAACGGCCGGCGACCTGGACGCTCTACTTGCCTCAGCGACCTCTTCGGCTGCCGGCAGGACGAGCCATGGGTTGCGCCTGGACGTCGGCGACGGCGCTCTCGTGCTGGACTCGGCGAGCCGGGACGTCTTTCCCCTTCCTTGTGTTGGAGATCGGCGTGATGCGCCCTCTGCGGGCATCTTACCGCGCCGCGCTGCCGCTTGTGATCAGAGGTTTGCAGAAGTTGCCAGCTCTCTGAACGCGCTGGCGGTGGCTCGTGCGGGGCATCGTCTTCGGCGGTGCACATCGGCTTCGCCACCTACTGGACTTCAACGTGCTGTGGGTGTTCGGCTGAGGGAGTCGCTCCAGGAGTTGGGGTGTCCTCCCTCTGGGCCTGACAGGAGGGGCGCCCTCAAAAGCGTCCTTAGAGCTCTGAACGTCTACGACTTTTCCACGGACGACGCCACCCGCAGGCCCTTTGATGCCTCCCGCGTTCGGGTCGTTCGTGACGGCGGCGTTCACCCCAAGCCAGTCGGCGCAGTGGTCGGGCCTGACGCTCGGCCAATGGCGGCTGATCCCTGGAATTGGATCTTCAGGACTCCAACTGATGAGAACAGGATCGCAGCGGAGGCAACGGTGAAGCCCTACCTCGACCCCGTGCTGCGCGACCCACGTCACATGAGCGCTCTCGTGAATGAGCTGAACGACGCGGGGATGCTGTCCTTTCGCCGCCGAGCGCGCTGCTTCGCGGGCGCCTTCGCGGTGATCAAGAAGGACGGGCACCACTTGAGGCTCGTTCTGGACTGCAGGGCCGCAAACGTTTTGCACCGCGATCCTCCGGCCAGTCAGCTAGCGACGGCATCGGCCTTGGCGGGCCTCGTGTTGAGGGACGGCGAGACCTTGGCTACGGAGCACGACGCCGCGGGCCGTCCGTTGGATATGCACTTCTCGGGCGCGGACTTGACCGACGGCTACTTCCAGTTCGAGTTTGAGGAGGTCGCCGGCTACTTCTGCCTGGCCCACAAGGTGCGGGCGAGCGACTTCGGCGTCACGAAGGTCTTCGATGGCGATCGTCGATGCTGGGACTCGGTCGGCTCCGACGAGATGCTGTGGACGTGCGTGAAGGTCATTCCGATGGGCTGGACGTGGTCACTCTTTTTCTGCCACTCCGCGCTGACCGACATTCAGGTTTGTGCGGAGATGAGGCGGCTTGGCGTCGAGGATAGGGAGGTGGTGGACTCGCGAGTGCTTCGCGATCCTCGACCGCCGCCCGTTCTCCAGCCCGGCCTTCCCATCCTCGCGCCGTACGTGGACAACGCCTTCTTGATCTGCTGGAACCGCGAGGACGCTTCAGAGGACGTCGTGCAGGTAGGGCTTCGGTTGCTGGGCGGATCTCAGCCGTTCATCCTGCACAAGACGGAGCGCACGTGGCGGTTGTACTACGCTCTCAATTCTGCCATTCGGTGTCGCCGCTTTTCGGATCGGCAGGTACGAGGCCTAGTGGGCCACCTGGTCAATCATTTTATGTTGTTCCCGCCCTTCATGTCTGTCTTGCACGAGGTGTGGCGCTGGCTCTCCGAGCACACGGATCTGGTCGCAGAGCTGACCCCGGCAGTGATTGGCGAGTTGCAGACGGCGGCGGGCCTTGTGCTCATCACCCGACATCGTGTTCGCCTGAAGACGGCGACTACGGTGGTTTGCTCCGACTCCAGCGGGGCGGGCTACGCGCTGCACGTCGGCCGGTTTTCAGAGCGGGAGGTGCTGGACGCGATCAGGTGGCGGGAGCGCTGGCGATTCAAGACCATCGAGGAGTACACGCAGGACGACACCACGGACTCCGACCCTTTCCCCAGCTCCATCGCCGCGGACTCGACCTCGCTCGCCCCGGCCTTCGAGGAGGAGCTGGGCTTTGGCGAGGTGGGGCCAGCGGAGTTAACGACCTCTACGTGGAGCGCGGGCTCGTCGGCTGTGGCGTCGCGGCGGGCTACACTGGGTGCCGACGCTCACGCCCTGCCGGAGCTCGCGGCGGTCTACTCTGACCGTCTTCGGTGGCGACGCGCGGTGGTGGGGGCCTGGTGTCGTGCGGGCGCCATCCACAACAAGGAGGCTCGGGCCGCTCTGCTGGGGCTCCGTCGCTATGCGAGGTCCTCTCGCAACTGGGATGCTGAGGTTCTGTCCGTCGGGGATGACCTGTCCGAGGTCCTGGCAACCGAGCGCGGGCGCGCCAAGGATCGCGAGCTCAACGCGCTGTGCCGTCGAGCTGGGGCGCTCCAAGGGGTCGCTGGGCTTCGGTGGCGCCGCCGTCATATCGTGGGCGAGAGGAACTGCTCGGACGAGGACTCGAGGTTGGCCGACCGCGGACTTCTTGCCGCAGGGGAAGCCCTGGGTGGAGGCGCGCCGTGGGCACGTCTCCGAGGCCGGGGCCAACGTGAGCTGGCAGATAGAGACCGAGTTCGAGCTGAGCCTTCGTCGAAGACCGCCACTTCGCCAGTAGCCGTTACAGCCGCCATGGATGATCGGGCTGAGCGGCCAGCTTCCTGTTCTTCATCAGACACTACGATCACATTTTCCACAAGTGGGCCGGCTCCAATGAGAGCCACGTCGAAGGGAGGGGCGAGACTTCCGCTTCGGGCCGGCGCGGCTGAGCGCCGAGGAGAGAGCTCGCTCTCCAAGCCGATTGCCCCGGCGCGGCGCGAGCTGGCCATTTTGGAGCTGTTCGCGGGATGCGCTCGTTTTTCAGGAGCCTGCCAACAAAAAGGATTGCGCATCGCACCGCCCTTCGACATAGGCACGTCTCGGGACTATGATATTACTGATCCTCGGGTACTTCGGAAGATCCTGAACTGGATTAAGTCGGGGAAGGTTTGGCTGCTTTGGCTAGGTACTCCGTGTACTAACTGGACAAGCGCTCGCAGTTCTCCAGAGGCTCCCGACGACATCCAGGACCCAACCGCTGTGGCCACTCTACGTATCCTCCGCGCGGCTCATCGGTATAGAGTGAGGTGGATTCTGGAGAACCCCATTAACTCTAAGCTCTTCAAGTGGACGCCTCTCAAGGATCTCTTCAAGACCCAGAGGGCCCAAGAGGCCATCGTGGACTACAGCAGGTACGGCACCCCCTATCGTAAGCGAACTCGTCTAATGGGAACTCTTGAAGGCCTCCAAGAAGTAGGAAGACTTTGTCGGTGTCAGGCGCCCCGCGAGATCCTCCAAGGGAAAGTTAAAGTTGAAGTGGCTCCCGGCAAGCACGCCCTGAAATGGAAAACGCCCCTTGCTGCTGCGTATCCGCCAGCTCTATGTCGCGAATTGGCTCGAGTGGTTGAGCGTAATGCTCCACTTACTGCTTTTCGTGATCCTCGCGAACCGGTACTTCATATCCGATGGCGTCGTGATCTGGCGGCCTCGCTCGGCGGGCGCGGAGTGGAACCACCGCCAATTCCAACTTGTCCAAGAAGATTCACATTACCGTGGGGAGATCTCTCTGAAAGTTGGGGCTGTGGAGACTCGCGGGCACGGCGGCGTCGAGCACTGGCTGCCCGCTCCCAAGCATCTACGGCCCTTTCGACCAGCTCGCCTGCAGTGGTCGTTCGGTCGCCGGCCGACCCCTGCGACACAGCGCCGCCGCCCAGCTCACGGGTGCGGCGTGCTCCTGCAAATGCTGGTGGGAAGCTCTGCACGCCTCCAATCTGTAGGGCGCCACTCCGACAACATCAGTCGGGTCAAGGTCAGCTTCGTCAACCCCGCCGACGAGCACGTGCCGTTCGTCGGGATGCCGGTCAGCTGGCCGGCACAGTTGGTAGCGGGGGTGGACCACCCCGCGCCCAGCCCGTTCGCCGTGCACGCCATGCCGCCCCAGCACCTGGTGTACGGCGCCATCGTTTCGTTCCGCTACAGCAAGCTCGGAAGGTACCTACATTGTCTAAATCAAGTCCTTTTTAAGTTCGAAGTTGGAAATGCCGCCATGTTGTTCCTTCGCAACCAACCTGTCGGGCAAGCTGAAGGTTGCGCGATCATGAGCCCTCCCGCCCTTTCCCTCATGATCCATAGCCAGAAGTATTGTGGACGAGACTCTACTTTGGTAAGTTGGCCATGTCGATTTTTCTGGTGGAGTCTCAGCCGCGGCTGGGCCGACAGTATTATCAGGCGAGCTGATTTCATGAACTGTACCGCTCGGGGTGGGTCGAGCGCACGTGCCAAAAATGATGGATCTCCCAGGCTCGGTCTATCACCCTATCGTCGGTTGGCCTCTGTGAGTGAGTGCTTTGCTAATCGCTGAGCCTGTCGGCAACTCCGTCTCCTCCTGGGCTCTCTCCCTCCTGGGCTCCCGGCCTTTTTGGCCCGAGACGCTTTTGTTAAGGAAATGCCCAGTAGCTCTGCTTCCCTTTTTCCTTGCGCGGGTCGAAGGGATCTGCAATACATGTTGATCCGTAGTTCTGGTGTTCCCGTCCTGCCATCCCCTGTGCCAGCGTGTATCCATAGGCAGTGGCCATGTCGATTTTTCTGGTGGAGTCTCAGCCGCGGCTGGGCCGACAGTATTATCAGGCGAGCTGATTTCATGAACTGTACCGCTCGGGGTGGGTCGAGCGCACGTGCCAAAAATGATGGATCTCCCAGGCTCGGTCTATCACCCTATCGTCGGTTGGCCTCTGTGAGTGAGTGCTTTGCTAATCGCTGAGCCTGTCGGCAACTGCGTCTCCTCCTGGGCTCTCTCCCTCCTGGGCTCCCGGCTATTTTGGCCCGAGACGCTTTTGTTAAGGATATATATATATATATATATGCACGTACAGATAGATGGATGGGTGGATGAACGGATGGATAGATAGATGGATTGATAGATGTATAGTCCGACACACAAACTGATACATGTACATATGTATAGCGAACTCTAAGCATACATATGTCGATATATAGATGGGTGGATGGATGGATCGATTGGTACAGAGATCGGTATATAGATCTGTAGACAGACAGATAGGTTATCGAAGACGCCTACGGCGAATCACCGCCGCCCCCTGCCCTGGTGCAAGCGCTGATGTGGCCGACAGCTGGGCTAGAGCTTGGCCGAGCTATCGGGCCAGTTGTTCCCCGAGTCGGTTTGGAAAACCTTCGGGGAACGCGTGGGGGAGCAAAAGGTTTGAAATCGCCCATGTGTCCGAGCGTTGTGGCCAGAGCCATGCCAACCCACCATATTATGTGTTCCCCCAACCGTTGTGGAAACCATTCGGGGAGCACTTGGGGGAGGATGACGGGGAAGATCAAGAGGAGGAGAAGGAGGAGGACGAGGAGGAGGAGGAGGAACAGAAGGAGGAGGGGAGGAGGAGGAGGAGGAGGAGGATGAGGAGGAGGAGAAAAATGAGGAGAAGAGGAGGAGAGGAGGAAGAGAGGAGGAGGAGGAGGAGGAGGAGGAGGAGGAGAAGTGGGAGCAGGAGGAGGAGGAGGGGGAGGAGGAGGAGGAGGAGGAGGAGGAGGAGGAGGAGGAGGGAGCATCTTGGGAACCTCTGGGGGCATCCTTGGCCGTCAAGACATTCCTGGCACGTCCGACGCCGTCGGAAGCCGTCTTGGGGGCCTCTCTTGGCCGAAACCCTCTTGGGGTGCTCCAGGGCCGTCTTGGAAATCATCTTGGGCGTCTTGGAGGCCTTTTGGGCAGTCTGGGTGCTCCCTTGGGGTCGCCTTGGGCCTTTTGGGCCGTTCTGGGGCCGTCCTGGAGTCCTCGGTTGCAATCTTTTGGGGTTTTTGGGCCGTCTCGGGCCGTCGGAAGGCTGAACAGAAGCACATGCATCCTTCAAAGACGTAAGGAACATCCATGAGTGCGGCATCTCCTGGCCTTCTTGGAGGGCCTCTTGGGCCATCTTGGAGGCCACCTGGGGGCCTATTGGGCCGCCTTGGGCCATCTTAGAGCCATTTTGGGCCGTCGTGGTGGGCTCCTGGCCCGTCTGGCGCCGTCGGGAGCTGTCTTGGGGACCTCTCAGGGCCGACTGGGTGGCCTTTTGGGGTGCTCCAGGGCCGTCTTGGAGGCCACCGTTGGGCAGTCTTGGGGCCCTCCTGGGGCGGTCTTGGGGACCTCTTGGGGCCCTCCTGGGGCGGTCTTGGGGACCTCTTGAGCCGTCTCGGGATGTCGGAAGGCCGAAAAAGAACATGCGAAAATCCCTGAGAAACCTAAGGAAAATCAATGCCTTGGGCCTCTTCGGGCCTTCCTGGAGGCCCTAATGGAGGCCTCTTAGCCCGTCTTGGAGGCCTCTTGGGGGCCTCTTGGGCCGTTTTGGTCCATCTTAGAGCCATCTTGGGCCGTCTTGGTGGGCTCCTGGCCCGTCTGGCGCTGTCGGAAGCCGTCTTGGGGGCCTCTCTGAACCGACTTGGGCCCCTCTTTGGGCGCTTCAGGGCCGTCTTAGGGGCCCATCTTGGGCGTCTTGGAGGCTTCTTGGGCCGTCTTGGGACCCTCTTGCGGCCGTCATTGGGGTCTCTTGGGCCGTCATGGGGTAATTTTGGCGGCCTCTTGGGCGATTTTGGAGCTATCGTGGGGGCCGGTTGGGCCGTCGGAAAGCAGAGAAGAAGCGAATGCCAGAATCCTTGTGTGAAAGAGGGTGCTTTTCTTTGGATCTGGGCGAGTTTACTTGCCGGACATTCCCCCCTTCCGCCGCCTTGTCAATCAGCGCTGGGCCGAAAAGGGGTAAAGGAGAGTCTCGACTTGCGCGAAGTGCAGCTTTTCGTTCGGGCCTCTCCAAGCGCCACGCCCCCACCGCGCCCCCCGTCCATGCAAGTAGACTTGCCCCAGAACTGCCCCCAAAAGTTGCAGCGCCCAGCAGCGGTCTAAACCCTCAGGCCGAAAACAACAAAAGCCGCGTGCCATGTTTTTCTATGACGCGAGGGGGTCTGGGAACGAAAGCTTCCGAACTTCGGGTCCAGGCCTCCGGCTTTCGGGCCACAACTCGGGCCTGCGGCGGCCGTTCGGGACGATCCGGACACCCCCAACGTTCTCTGCGGGGCGCAGCTGCTGGCAGGCGTCCCGGTGCGAGAAACACTTCCACGGCCAGCGGAAATCGACCAACACCTCCGCAATTCGTATTGCTGAGGCCTTACGGCCGGTGCCGCCGACCCTGAAGACGACGAAGACGACTACGAGGAGGAGGAGGAGGAGGAGGAGGAGGAGGAGGAGGAGGAGGAGGAGTAGGAGGAGGAGGAGGAGGAGGAGGAGGAGGGGGATTAAGGTGGAAGGGAGCAGGAGAAGGCGAAGGAGATTTTCCCCATGTGGGTCGACCAAAACCTCCGCAATTCGTATCTCCCCCACGCGTTGGAGGCCCGGAGGGCCAGGCTCGGCGGCGGCGCCCGCAGTGCCGCTGCTGGCGGCGGCGCTCGCCGCGCAGCACCGGCGGGCGCGGCGCGGCGCAGGCGGCGCGCGGCCGCGGGTGCGGCGGCGCGCGACCGAGACCGGCGGCGCGCGCAGAACCCAGATTCTCCCCAGACATCGGGCGTCTCGAAAAAGTCGAGACGGAGGTTTTTCGTAGTTTTCGGCCTCTCGGGGCCCTCGCCGGGCCTCGGGACCGTCAAAAAACGACTCGGGATGAAAAACCGGTCCTGGGGAAGTGGCCCAGAGGTCGGGGGCCCGTGTCTTGAAAAAATCGAGACATCGGATGTCTGGGTCGGGCGGGTGGTAATGGAGGGTGCCCCATGTAGGGCTCTTGTCTCCACCCCGCAGTTAAGTCACCCCCCATTACCACGCGCCCGAGATTCAGAGGCTCAGAATTTGACACGAACGCCCAAATCGGTGGTCGCCTCCACACGGATGATGATCCGGTGGTCTCGATGATGGTGATAATGATCGGGCTTCTCAGGTGGCCGAGAGATTACCACCAGCACCACCATGCAGGATCACCTTCCCCCTGTGGAGGCGCCCCCCGTGTGTTGGTGTTGGTGCCCACGTCCATGCCCCCACAGAGCTTCGACGATCTGTGTTTTCAGTGCCGCCGTTTTTTCCTCGATGTCAATCCCTGCGCTCTTCATCGATTTATGCCTCCAGGGCCTTGTACCGTTTCTTGCATCTCGGAGAGACTCCTCCTCGCCACGGCCGGATCCGCCTCGAAATTCTGGTCAGAGCCCACCCTGGGACAGGTCCGGGGGGGCCAAGATCCCTGACGGTATGATTTTTCAAGCCCAGCATTTTTCATCGATTTCGGTTCATTGTCGGGCCCGGAACTATCAAATATGGATCCGGGGCGAAAAGCTGCCCTCTGGGAAAGGGGTCAGAACCTCCAGGACCGCGCATTGAACAAACATCAAGTCGGAAGATGTCTGGGGAGGTCGGCGGCCAGCCCAGTGCAGTTGTGATAGGGGGCGGGTCTTCTGAGAAGGCTCGGAAGCCCACTGGCCTTCTGATAAGTGTTCTAAGCCTTCCCGGAAGACACGGAACATGTCGCAGGATGCTGTGAAGTTTTTGATAAGTACCGCCGAGGAGGGAGGAGGATTGATGAGGAGGCCAGAGATCAGGAGAAGGGGGGAGGAGAGAGGAGTGAGGAGGGAGGAGGAGGATGAGGAGGAGGGAAAGCGGGGGAAGGGGGGGAGAGGGAGAGAGGGGAGGGAGGAGGAGGACCAGCGTATATACTGATGATGAGGTTTGATTGTCTCAGGAGCCAGCAGCATTATGCTGGCTGACTCACCCCGTGCAGCTCATTTACGACATGGGCGAGGGGCAGGGGGGGCTTCAATATTCGCGCATAGTCTGCAGTTCTTTTGGGATGCTTTCCTGCCAGGGGTCCCTGAAATTGCAGGGTCCTGCATTGTTAGGGCACGCCCTGGGGCAATCCGTCTGAAAGTCTCTGGAACTGGATTCGCTGATGAAAGAGCCACATACGTGACACATCAGAATGCTGCAGGGAATGGTTTCTTCTGCGTTGCCTAACAAGTCGATCTCGTGCTTTTGAGGTTGGGCCATTAAATTTGACTGATGCCAGCAAATTCTTGGGCACCTCTCTTGTGCCCTTTCGTCAACTCTGACTGCTGCAACCCACTCCACACGCGACACAGATCCATCTCTTTCTTTCTCTCTCTCTCTCTTGCTCTCTCTTGCTCTCTCTCTGTCTCCCTTTCTGCTGTAGCCGCTGGTGGGCCCCCCTGGGGGCCCCCAGAGTCGGGGGAGGAGCCAGCCTCGAAGGAGCAGGAGCAAGACCAGCCCAGGAAGGCTCCGCCGAGTCCGCCCCCGTGGGGGGGCTCAGGGACCTCTCGGGCTTGTCCAGGGCCTTGCCTTCCGCTTTGTGGGCCACTGTAGGCCACAGCTGGAGGGCTTGCGAAACGTGAGCCCCGTGAGCACATCGAGCAACTTAGCTTGGACTGTCAGCGGATCCGCCGTCCAAACCTGCTGGGTTGGATGGCGTTGGCGGCGGCTGTCTTAGCAAACTCGTCTGCAGCAGCGTTCCCCATGGCTCGTCTCTACGAGTCGCTACCAAACTCTGACCTTAAGGTCCACGAGAGCTTTGATTGTCTGGATCCCATGGGGCTCGAGGCGGCCGATCAAAACACATGGAAGACATCGTGAGCATCCAGGCGAGAAACACGTTTGTTGTGAACAACTATGGCACCCTGGTAGTCTACAAAGAGCGCTCGCTTAGCCCCTCGCTGCTCTTGATCCGGTAGTTGGTCAAACTGTGCAGGTTATGCATAATGCGTCTCGCCGTGGGCGGAATGCCTGGGCCTGCGGGTCCGCATCATGTCCTGCCGCAAGCACTGAACAGTGCTCAGCAGAAGAAGTGACCGAAAGCACATTTCCGACCTGCCCAGGCATGTCGGCGAACACATCTTCGTGGGCATCGAGTGAAACAAGTGCCCAGCCAGCAGCATTAGAGAAGGTGCGCCCCCCTGTTTTGAGGTACGGTCCATCAGTGACAACTTCTCTGAACAAATTCTGCTGTAGCGACACGGCTGGGTCCCGATACCAGACAGATGCATCTTCGTAGCCGAATCCGATCGGAGGTCCCGTTTCGAAATCGGGCGCAAACTGAAAACCAAAGACCAAGATTCAGTCCGAAAGCTTACTTATCTGCTCTAGCTCGCCTGGCGTGAAGTCCCGCTGCAGATCAGTGGTCTGTCTATTCTCCAGCAGTCTGTGTTTTTCATTGTCGTAGGAGTGGTCATACTCAAACCAGCGTAGGTCCACATACATTGTGTGTGAGATAGCAAGTTAAAACGGACCTGGCCTTTTATGAGGGTTCTGGCAACCGTGACGTCCAGGGCCTCCTGGGGAAATCCGAGCTTGGTGGCTGCCCTCAGTAGATTGAGCGTGTCCCAGGCCTGCTGCATTTTCTGGGCAATCCTCTTTGGGGTACAGGTCGTGCGCGGGTATTATATTTGTTTGTCTTGCAGTAGCAAACAAGATGAACAAGTCCATCCGATCCTATTCAGGGACAGGTTAGCGGCCCCAAAGGTTGCCCTTTCAGGTCGCCGCCTGGAGGGGGGGTGGGACGAGGACCGGCTCAGCAATATTCTTCAGTGTTCGAAGCTCTGATGGCGATCTGTCTCGAGTCGTCGCCTTCCAGATCGTCGTAGCCCATGTGAGTGTTGGTCCTTACCGGCCCGCCAGGTTGGGCCTCCCAGCGCTGCCAAATTGAGCGTCCTATTTCGAGTGGCGCACCTGGACCTTGTCGCTCTGAGATATTCCGATTGAAGTTTGTTGATTTCGCCGTTTTCCACCCCGTTCACTTTAGTTCCGTAGATAATGCCCTGCTGTAATCCAGTTTTCCATCGTTTTCTCGTGCCCCGTCCAGCCAGTTTGATCGCTTAACTAGCTTACGCTGTGAGGCACCCGCAGAGTTGTCGATCCAAAAGGTGGTGGCAGCATGGTTATCCTCGGGGCTTGCATATTTACCATGGTTTTCTTGAGCAAATTCCTAGCTACGATGCTGAAAGTGGTGATTTGGGCCTTGCGCAGCGCGAGCTTACATTCTAGATAATCCTGGGGGAGGATTGTCAATTTCGCCGCCGAGGCTTGTAACTGCTTCACAGTGGTGAACTGATTGCTGTGCTGCTGTCCCCACAACACATCGTCGATAAACATCTGCAGCTCGGTTCCCTTGGGGGTTCCATAATCCGGACGTCCAGATGTCCCAGACTGCAAACTTGAACTAAAACGTTGTTCATGCGCAGCCAGCTGCAATCCCTCGGGTCGGATAGTCCACCAACTGAGCTAGGTCTCGTGTGGCCACGAGGCGCTGGCTGCTGTACTGTGTTAAAGTCACCTTGACGATGATGCTGCTGAAGCCTGTGTCGTGAGCCCTCTCTATCACTTTGCTGCGGCTGATGTGTTCGTTTCTGAGGTCTCACAGCCAAGCGCCTGTGAATAAGGTTTCAGCTCGAGTCACACCGCATTCTGCTTAGAGGCTCTGGCGAACCAACAACTTCTGTGGTACTCTTGCCCGCCTGCTGGGCAAAACAGGTGCGTAGGTGCTGGGCTTCCCATGGTCTAGCTTTTGTTTGGCGGACGTTGGACCAAATTCGATAAAGGTCTGGCATCGTCCCAATACCTCTGAACAGGAGGAGTTCTCCAACTTTTTCACTCTTCTTCACCGTGGGATCAGCACCGGGATTACTGTCTGCAGCTGCGTGGGTATGCCGGCCACCTGCTCGACGAGGTGCAACAACTTGCAGGCCTTGCTGGCCTGTTCCAAGCTAAGGCTCTCGAAATGCTTGGGGTGACACTCGTCCCACGTCGACGCCGCCGTGTGGGAAAACTGTTTGCCTGCATCTGTCAAGTCCTGGGGTTCCAGCCTGGGTAGTTGAGGTCCTTGTCCCTTGGGTTACCAGACACCTGGGTCGGGTCGGAGTCGTCTCCCAAAGTCGTTTGAACCTAGCAGCTTCGTGCTCGAGAGCCTTAGAGGGCTTACCAGTTCAGGAGTCTTTCCAAGGAGCCGCAATAGGAGGCCATCCAACAAGATGCTTGGTCAAAGCCCAGCCAGCATTCCCCTGTATGCCCACTTGGAGCGAATTTCATTCCGAGATTAGGATGCGTATGATTCCCCCCTCAAAACGATTTCCTTATTCATTAGCTGAGTGGTGTGACCCAGAACCTGGCCCAAGGCCTCGAAGCCTGAATTATCGTCCAGGGCTGCAGCCTGCACGTCGAAGCCAAGGGACTGGAGGGTTTGCTTGGTACTCTCGAGACGCACCTTGAGGCTATCTGGTTTCTGAAATTCCTGCGGGGATCTTCCACAAGAGGGAGATCATCCTGCATACTGATGGCTTCCAGCTGCATGAGCTGGCACGAAGACTGCTGCACGACATTGCGCAGCCAGCGAAATGGCTCTGCGTAAGAACTCCTGGGAGGCCTTGATCCATCCAACTCCCTCTGGATGGGAAGCTCTGGGTCTCGAACTCAATTTCAAACGTGTGTCGAATCGGCGATGGTACTTTCCAGGTCCCTGGCCAGGCATTGATAAACCTTATCCACAACTATTTGCTGCTCCTCTTGGTTGGGTGGTTTCGGAGTGCGAGATACGCTGGTCTCAGCAACTTCGAGCACAGCCTCGGTACCATGCCAGTCTCGCTCTGGCTTCCGAGGTCAAAAGCAGGCTGGGTGAATAGTTTCTGCGGCTCGTGCAGAACAGGCACAGCGAAAGTCTCGTCGGTGGATATCTGTACTGAGTGGTCTTTGCGGTGAGAATGGGTTCTGATCGACTTGTTCCAAAGTTCTGCGATGCAGAACGTAGTCCAGGCACGCTTGCGTCTCCTTGGTACGAAAAAGTAGCGACAGTCGAAGCACACATGCTCTTGTCAGCACGCTGCACAACAGCAGTATGCTTTCCCCTACGTGAACTGAAATTGCAATCACCCGCAACCAACAGTAGCATCTGATACCCATCCTGAATGATTGCGACCGGCGCGAGAAAATCTGAGCTGGTCTCATCCAGGCCGACATTGGCTTGCATGCAAATGGATAGCGCTTCGATGGTTCGAAGCCCAGGCAGCTCCACTTTAACTCCGACCAGCCGCCCCAGAGGCACGAGTCGTTGAGCTTCCTGGGGTCGGTATTGGGAGAGCCAGAATACCGAAATCGAAACTGTTCTAAGCAACAACTCCTGAGGATGGGGCTTCAGTAGGGCTGAACGTGCCTCTCTGAAATATAGCTTGCCTCCAATTGACGATGGCACCATTGATTGGCATCAGTGATGGCCTGCACTGCGCCCAAGTTTGTCTCCTGCGCGCAAATGATCTGGGCCTCTTGGCCCAGCTCTGACTGAATAATGATATTCTGCACCTGCGGCCAACAGCTACTGTTGACCGTTATGAGCATCACGCTGTTAGGAATGTGAACCTGAGCCAAGATGCGCCAGCCGTAATATTATCCTGCGCCATCTTGGGCTTCTTGGCGATCTCGTCGTTGCCCTAGTTGTCGGCGTCCATGGCCAGCTGCTCCTGTCCAAGGCCGTCTTCTTCGCGTCCACCATGCCGTCGTCATCATCAGGGATTGCCGCCGCCAGCGCACCGTAAACCTGTTTGACACGTGCTGCCTCCCCCAAAACTGGTGCATTTGGTGGTGCGAGTGGTGCTGCTCAGACTGCCGCTGCTGTTGTTGGCCTACCCGCTGGAGCAGGTCCTCCGTGATGCGCTGGTGCTGCTGCAGCCTGGTGGGCCTTCATCTTCTGGTTTCTGGTCTTGCTCCTGGTTTTGCTTCTGCGTGATGTCGTCGAGCACATTGGCCACCTCCGACAGGTGCTTGTCCAGCTCGGATGAGCGTTATTACTTGGGCTTGTTGGTCCTGGATGGGATGAGCGCCTTCAACGCCTCCGCCATGGCGCCCTCCTGCGTGACACTTGTTGCTGCTGCCTGCGCAGCCCTGCAACTGCGCTTCCAACTTTTGAGTATCCTTGCTTATCTCGTGCAACTCCTCGACTGCTTGGCCATGTTTCTCATTGATCAGTGGTGATAGGCCGGCCAGCGAGCTGCGTGACCGGGTTCGTGGCATTGGCGAGCCTCCTTTTGTTCTGAGCGAGCTGATCTTTGAGACTTTGTGCTTGCTGGTCAGGTGTCTTGTCCGCGAACGCGGCCTTTTTGGCTTGGTTATAGGCCTCGACCGCAGCCGTATACAGTTTGCTGCTGCCCCCCGTCCACTGAATCCAAAAGGTAGTCCGAGCTTGGGCAATCTCGGTGGCATTGTGGTGTTCAACTTGGGCTGCACTGTCGCGCGGCCAGCTTCGATCCACACTTTGTGCAGTGGGTAGCTCTTCTGTCCGAGAAAGCCCATCCATTGCACGACTGCCACGGACATACCAGGATACTTACCACGATTCGCCACCATCGCACCACTTTTGTTAGGCACGCTAGGATAAGAAGTGCGGCACAGCCCCTCGGGCGAGAGCGAGCCGCGCTATGACTTGGCGTGGTGAAAGCTACTTGGCGGGGGAGCCCGCATCTCCCAGCCAAGGCTGGAAAGAATGCCGAGCAGCCAAGCTGCCCTGACTGCCGCGGCCCAGCGGTATCTACTTGGTTCACTTGAGAACCTTGCATCTTGAGCCAAAATGGCTACGCGTGGAGGCGGAGCAGGAGGAGGAGGAGGAGGAGGAGGAGAAAAAGAGGAGGACGAGGATGAGGAAGAGGAGAAGGAGGAAGGAGGACGAGGACGAGGAGTAGGAAGGAGGAGGAGGAGGAGGAGGAGGATGAAGGAGGGTGAGGAGGAGGAGCTCCCTTCTGCGCGCGCCGCCGGCGAGGAGTCTGGACGGCAGGGCCCCAGAGGACATCCAGAAGGGCAGAAAGCACGGTACCCTCACAAGCCAGGGCCCGCCGTGGGTCCGACGGCGCCGGCTCGACGTCGGCACGGAGGGAATGGCCATGAAGACCGACCAAGACCTCCTCTTTCTTGTCCTCCTCCTCCTCCTCCTCCTCTTTCTCCTCCTCTTCCTCCTCATCCTCCTCCTCCTCCTCTTCCTCCTCTTCCCCCTCGGCTGGCCACCCCGACGGAAAGGGGCAGCCAGGCGGCACGCTAGCCCCCTCCCCTCGACGACGACGACGGGAACGGGTACATGTCCTGTTCACTTCGGGCAAGACTCGCCGGCGGTGTCGCCGCGGACGTTGTCCGCTTGGTGCAGAAGGCCCGCCTGCCCGACAGCGGCCGCCGTCGTGTTTGGGCAGCATGCGTTGTTGGGCCTCGTACTCGTTTGTTCCGTACCCATTCCGGGCGTCTGCATCGATGTCGAATCCAGCCGGCCCGCTTAGATCCAAGTCTCTAGACCCCTTCGCGTCGTGAAAACAACCATGACAACATGTTTTTGATGATTTTTGGCCTTTGGGGGCTCGCCTGGCCCTGGGACCGTCAAGAGACGACTCAGGATGAAGACCCTATCCTGGGGAATGGGTCGAGACTTCCGGGGATCGACGTTGTCAAGTCATGACGTCGGAAGTCTGGGTCCGATGCTCCGGCGACCCGATGCGGCCCGATGCCTGCATAGCGCTGTTGTGCATCCTGGCACGGCCGATCCGATTCGGTTCTGGCTCCGTGCCGGTGCTGGCCAATACGACGCACGTTCCATGCCGATTCGGCCTTCCGATGCGGTGTTGATGGATCTTGCAAACTCCTCTCGGAGTTCTGCGCGGGCGTCCGAAGGTTTGTGCTCGTGCAGCTTCTGTCCTTCTCACATCAATGTTTCCAGTATCCAGTTCGGCGGCAGGGCCCGTAATTACGACTGGCCGCCGAAGAAGACCACGTTCAATCAGGCGGAGCAAGACGACGATGGGAAGACTACACTGGTGCCAGAGGGTAGGACAAACGAGAGAATGTCGAAGGAGATTACCACTGTCGACCGCTGGCCGTTCTACGAGGTTGCCTTGTCGAACGTCCCAGAGGTGGATCAGGACCTGCTCAAGCAGTACCGGATCCTGGACCTCTCTGATAACTGCTTGAGGCTGGCGGAACAGCACATCGTGCAAGCACAGAGGCCCGCGCGGATCCCTTGGCCCCTTCGCTGGGCCCCCGCTCCCTGGCGCGCACAAACCGCGCCAGGGCCGGCGCCAGAGGCGCCGCCATCGGGGTCCCGCGCAGATCCAGGAAGTCCGCGCGGACCTCCCAAAGTTTACGGTCGGGCATGTCCCTCTACAGGAGGAGTATTCAACAATTGTCACAGAATAGCCAGGGGACGATTCTCCATGTTTCACATGTTTGGCAGATTTTAATGGTATTTGTAATTTTTCGCACAAGCTCTCCCTGCAGGAGGACAGACCCGACCTGACCCAAAGTTTGCGGTCGGGAATCTCGGCTCAGCGTGTCGTTCCGCCGCTCAGTTCGCCCGCTCCCGGCCAACCTGGAGCGCGCGTGCGGATCGCCCCTGCCGCGCTGCGACCAGCAGCAAAAATCGTTCCGCCGTTTCTGGCCCACCACGCTTCGCCGCGACACGCTATCCAATTCCCAGTCCCCAACGCATCAACGTCCAGAGCCTTCCCCAGACTCCCGCCCCGCCGAGCGGAGCGACACACACCAACCGCTTGCAGTGCACAGTGTGTCGCCGGGGCCGCCGCAGCGACACGCAAAGCATATATTCCTGACCGCATGCTTTTGCTGATGTTTCTTCTTCTGGTGAGGGCGTTCATGATGAGCAATCGCTGGGAGCTCGTCAACGCAGGGAGGTCGTTTTGGGCGTTTCGGCCAAGCACAGCAAGCATAGGAGACGAGGAAAGGAGGAAGAAAGCAACCAAGTGCCGACCCCAAGGTGCCTTCAGCCAGGGCTAGGCAGCACCCCCCGCCTCTACGCCCCCTCCGGACGAAGGGCTTCGGTCGCAGATCATGGGAGTTCTGTATCCCTTCATAACCCAGCTTTTAGGGCGCACTGGCGCCGTTTATCATCTGGTAACCGATGAGATGGCGCTGACTTTGCGTCGATCCAGCGTCGATTAGCGTCGGTTAGCGTCGATGTGGCGCCGATCAGCGTCGATTCGCACGAGCCAACAAGATGGTATGGAAGGCTCCCATGAGCTGCCACCGCAGAAGGTGGGTAGGAGAAGCTGGGAGGGTGACGGGCCTTGGTGGCCTGAGGAAGGCGTGCCCCCGACAGCCAACATACCCTGTTCCTGGGACCCTGAGACCGCCTGCCCAGTTCGAGACAGCCCCGCGTGGCTGGGGATTTTGCTTTGGGCAGTGCGGACAAAGATGTTCCTTGCCTTCTTATAACCAACACGCTGAAGTACGGACCGCTTTGGGTTCGGAAGGGGCTCGCAGTTCCTTAGATCATTCCGTGGTTGCTCCTCTAGTCCCCCTCGTGCAACCAGGCACTTCTGGTGCAAAGAAGGGGCTTCTTTCGTCATTTAGCGCTCCTTCTTTCGGCAGCCCGACTGTAGTCGTCAACGCGGGGAGGTCTGCCGGCTTCGACAGGAAGGGCATCGCGGCGATCAGCAGCGCGAAGGTGGCCGGTTGTTCAACGATGGGGTCTTGAGGGATGGGGTCTTAGATCCTAAGGACGAGGTGCCCCAAACAACATGAATCCACCCGTTGGATCGCTTTCTGTCCTTAGGTCCCCATCCTTCAGGACTCCACCTTTGAGCCGACGAGGTGGCCGTGCCGGCCCTGAACCGCATCCTGAACGGGCTGGGCATCTGGCAGAATTGGCTGACGGCGGCTGCGGGCAGGGAAGGCGCCTCGATCGGGGGCAGGGGAGCACTCGCCATGAAGGAGACGGATCCTGAGGAAAAGTAGTCCTCCTCCGCCCTCTCTCCCCCTCCTCCATCCATCCTCCCTCCTCCTCCTCCTCCTCATCCTGCTCCTCCTCCTCCTCCTCCTCCTCCTCCTCCTCCTCCTCCTCCTCCCTCTCTCCTTCCCCCTCCTCCCTCCCCTCCTCCTCCTCACGTCTCCCTCCCTCCTTCTCCCTGTCTCCTTCCCCCTCCTCCCTCCCTCCTTCCTTCTCCTCCCTCCCTCCTCCTCCCTCCATCTCTTTCCTCCCTCTCCCCCCCTTCCCTCTCTCCTCCCTGGCGCGGGCAGCGCCTGCCGCCGCCCAGGCCGCGGAGGCCGCCGGGGCGCCAGGGACAGGCCCGCCGCCTAAGGTTTTTGGCTTCTTCGGTCTTCGGGCTCCTGGGGCCGTCCACGGGCCCCAGGACCATGAGAAGGGGGTCTTCGGTTTGGGGTGGTGTGGTCTGGTAGGTCGTCAGGACGAAGAGCTGGTCCTGGGGGGAAGGTCCCGGGGGAAGGTGCTTGGGTCCATGGCCCGTTTCCCTCAGGGCCCGATTTTTTCATGCATGCGAAATGGGCCAGGATGCGATGTTCCCCACCGCCATCGCACAAAGTTCAGAGGACATACATCGGAGCAGGTTCGCGAGCGTGGCCAGGAAGGTGTCCATGACATTATGTTCCCAGACCCCCTCGCGTCGACACAAGATCACGGCCGACGGTTTTAGCCCGATTTCTGTTTTTGGTGCCTTCGCCGTTCCCTGGGACCATCACGAAAACGGCTCGGGATGAAACGCCAGTCCCGGGGAATGGGTTGAGACTCCCGGTCGAAGAAGACGGCACAGGATGAGCACATGAGCTTTCCAAGGTTCGCGTGGATGTATTGGATCTGCGTTGGGTCCGCCTTGGCGGCGCCTCCAGCGCTGCTCCAGGCGTGCTACGCTCGCCACGGAGAGGTGCGCAGTGGGGATCCAAGAAGTCCGAGCGGCCCTTCGAGAGTTCATGTCCGCCGTCAAACAGGGTCATAAGGATGACCAGCTCTACAAGGGCACCCTTTCATCCTTGGATCTTGGGCCCATGCTTAGTCACCATGGCTAGCAGCTGTCGCTCAAAAGACTTCAACTTGGGCGTCGAAGGTACTTGCATCTTTGCGCAATGAACGCGCAGACCTATGATCCTGTCGCACCGTATGCAAAACAAATCACGATGACAACAGCTTCCACAGTGTTCTGCCCTCATGGGCCCTTACCTGGCGCTGGGGCCGTCAAGAACTACTCGGGATGCGAAGCCGTCCCCCAGAAGAGGGCCAAACCTGTGGGTAGCCTTCTGACGAATTCACGACACTTCCGACGGCGGGTGCGTTTCTTAGAAGGTGGGGACCTTTTGCCAAAAGCATACCAGGACCTCAGAGAAGCCCTGCCGGAAGGCCAGGGGGGCTTCCGAGAAGGCCCACGCCTACTGCCTTGAGAGCCGACGAATCGAAAAAGATGCAACCTCGCGAACAATGATGACCAGAGCTCTAGACCCAATCTTCCTGCTGCATTTTTCCAGCTAGATCGATCGGTGAGGGCATGTTGGCCCGGACGCCCAGATCTAGGGGCATGGTTTTGGTTCTTCTTCTAGTTACTCGGGAGTTCTTCGAGCAGTTCGCCGCCGAGAAGGGCGCCGACGAGGATTCGGCGGCCGAGATGCGGGCGATCCTCTTCGGCGAGGACGCGGCAGAGGCGGCCGTCCGGGTCACTGCCCTCATCGGGAATCAGAAGGGTGCCCGCGGCGAGCACAACGGGGGGTTGGCGCGAGGGGGGCGGCCTGCCAAAGAATGCCGAGGGGTGGGCTCCTCACCGGGAGATCTGGGCGGTGCAATGTTGTCGCACGGGGCGTGCTCACCAGAGCTTCGGGCCCCCGCGGGAACCTGGCCTGGCAGCTCGATCGGGCTCGAAAAATGCAGCGGGGAGATGGGGTCTAGAACTCGGGTCGTGATTTTCCGCGGGGCTGCATGTTTTCGAAACGTCGGCTTGCAGGGCATGAGGCGTTTTTTGCTTGTTGTGCTGAGAAGTTGCTGTCGTTGTCGTCGTCGTCCTTGTTGTTGTTGTTGTTGTTGTTGTTGTTGTTGTTGTTGTTGTTGTTGTTGTTGTTGTTGTTGTTGTTGTTGAATTCTCATCTCTGAAGAATAATTATTGTTGATCCCCCCCCACCGGTGCATACTGTTCTTTTCTCAATCGAAGTGTGCCCCTCGACGCTCGCACCCTGTTCTTTGACAGGGAAAGTCTTCCTGCTCAAACTGGCCCCCTGGCCCCAGGGTTACAACAACAACGGCTCCCGTTTGAGACTTCTTTACAATTTAGCCAGGACCCCCGCTCCCGCCCGAGACGTCCTCGTATTTTATTCAGGAATCGCGCTCTCGCTTGGGAATTCCTTACCATTTATTCAGGAATCGCTCTCCCGGAGCTCTGGAGTCGCGCTCTCGCTGGAGACTTGCTTGCATCTTTCTGAAGAGTAGCCTTGCGTAGGACTTTTTTTGCAATTTGCCAAAGCGCCGCGCTCCCGACACCCAGGCACCCAGGAGTCGCGCCCGTTGTGGCCCCATGTGCATGCCCTTCGTGGCCCCGCTGTCGCCATGTGTGTCCCCCTCACAGTCCTACGTGGCCCAGTTGCTACCCTCAGTGCCCCCATAGTTGCCTTCTGTGGCCCCGCGTTATCTGCACTTCGTGGCCCCCGCTCGTTCGCGCTCTTCGTGGCCCCATACGCATTCCCTTCGTGTCCCCGCTGTCGCCCTTCGTGGCCTACTTCGTGCCTTGCGTGGCCCTGCTGTCGTTCTCTCTCGCCGCCGTCGTCGTCGTCGCCGTCGTCTTCGACGTCGTCGTCGTCGTCGTCGTCGTCGTCGTCGTCGTGGTCGGTCCCCTGTCCGTCCCTCTTGGGGTCGGGTCGACGGTCTGCGGCCGCCCCGCCGATCAGCGCTGCCGCTGGCCAGGCCGACGGTCCGCGGCCGCCCCGCCGCTTGCCGTGGCCCGGCCTGCAGGGAAGAAAGGCATACCCCCCAAAAAGGGGTTCGATCGAAGACGAAGAGGGCGGGTATCGAGGGTTCGGGGAATACGCGTTATTGGACACTCGAGCTTATAAGGGCGAACAATCTCAAAATGATTGTTGTTGAATTCTCATTTCTGAAAAATAATTATTGTTAATCCCCCCCACTGGTGCATACTGTTTTTTCTCAATCGAAGTGTGCCCCTCGACGCTCGCACCCTGTTCTTTGACAGGGAAAGTCTTCCTGCTCAAACTGGCCCCCTGGCCCCAGGGTTACAACAACAACGGCTCCCGTTTGAGACTTCTTTACAATTTAGCCAGGACCCCCGCTCCCGCCCGAGACGTCCTCGTATTTTATTCAGGAATCGCGCTCTCGCTTGGGAATTCCTTACAATTTATTCAGGAATCGCTCTCCCGGAGCTCTGGAGTCGCGCTCTCGCTGGAGACTCGCTTGCAACTTACTGAAGAATAGCCTTGCGTTGGAATTTCCTGCAATTTGCCCAAGCGCCGCGCTCCCGACACTCAGGCACCCAGGAGTCGCGCCCGTTGTGGCCCAATGTGCATGCCCTTCGTGGCCCCGCTGTCGCCATTTGTGTCCCCCTCATTGTCCTACTTGGCCCAGATGCTACCTTCAGTGGCCCCATAGTTGCCTTCCGTGGCCCCGCATTATCTGCACTTCGTGGCCCCCGCTCGTTCGCGCTCTTCGTGGCCCCATACGCATTCCCTTCGTGTCCCCGCTGTCGCCCTTCATGGCCTACTTCGTGCCCTTCGTGGCCCTGCTGTCGTTTTCTTTCGCTTTCGCTTTCGCTCATCGTCGCCGTCGTCTTCGACGTCGTCGTCGTCGTCGTCGTCGTCGTCGTGGTCGGTCCCCTGTCCGTCCCTCTTGGGGTCGGGTCGACGGTCCGCGGCCGCCCCGCCGATCAGCGCTGCCGCTGGCCAGGCCGACGGTCCGCGGCCGCCCCGCCGCTTGCCGGGCCCGGCCTGCAGGGAGGAAAGGTATACCCCCCAAAAGGGGTTCGATCGAAGACGAAGAGGGCGGGTATCGAGGGTTTGGGACATACGCGTTATTGGACACTCGAGCATATAAGGGCGAACAGTCTTAAAATGATTGTTGTTGTTGTTGTTGTTGTTGTTGTTGTTGTTGTTGTTGGTGTTGGTGTTGTTGTTGCTGCTATTGCTGTTGCTGGTTATGTTGTTGTTTTTGTTGTCGTTGCTGTCGTTGTTGAATGTTAAGTACTGAGCAGTTATTATTGTTGGACCCATCCCAGGCACTTTAGCGCACTCGCCTCGGCACCGCCTATATTTTCATTGAAAATGAGGCTCACGCTCGAGTGCTTTGGGGCGGCGCCCAAACCGGCCCCCTAACAACAACAACGCTCCCGCTCGAGACTTCCTCCTTTTTTACTCAGGGCCGGTGCGCTTGCTCGCCGCCGAAAGCCGCCGTTCCAACAAAACCAGCGCTCCCGCTCGAGACCTCCTCCCGTTGTACCCTGGTCTGGCGCGCTACTCTTTCTCTCATCGGCGCCGCCCCATGCAACAACAACGCTCTCGCTCGAGACGTCCCCCCTTTTTTGCTCAAGGCGGTGCTCCTCCTCGCCGCCGAAAACCGCCGTCCTGACCAAACCAGCACTCCCGCCCGGGACTTCCTCCCGTTTTACGCTGGACTGGCGCCATCCTCTGTTTTGAGTTGGCGCCGCCCCCAGCAAGAACTACGCTCCCGCTCGAGGTTTCCTCCTTTTTTCCTCAGGACGGTGATGTTCCTCGCCGCCGACAGCCCCCGTCCCGACAAAACCACGGCTCCCGCTCGAGGCTCCCCCCCTTCTTACTCAAGGCGGCGTTCCTCCTGGCCGCCGGCAGACGCCGTCCCAACAAAACCAGCGTTCCCGCTCGAGACTTCGTTTTGTTTTACGCTAGGCTAGCGCCCTACTCTCTTCAGCATTGGCGCCGCTCCCAGCAACAACAGCGGCCCTGCTCGAGACTCCCTCCCTTTCTATTCAGGGCCAGGTCCTTGCCTCGCCGCCGACAGCCCCCATCCCCACCAAGGCAATCCTGTCGCTTGATATTTCCTTGTGATTTACCCTTGGCTCGGGCTCCACTGGCGGTCTCGCATCGGCGCAAGCAAGGCGCGGGCATGTGTTTTCGAGGCGGGATATGTTGAAATTTCTTGGAGGAGGTGTTTGCACGATCTCATTGGGCGGGATATCTGGGAATGGGAATAGCGGACCCCGCTATGGAGCAAAAATCCCCCATGATGGGGATGGTTATCATGATGGTCGCATGCTTCGTGTGGAAACATCGCGCATGAGGGTAACTTGATTGTTGTTGCTGGTGTTGTTGTAGTTGTTGTTGGTGTTGTTGGTTGTGGTTGTTGTTGCTGTTGTTGTTGATGTTGTTGTGGTTGTTGTCGTTGTTGCTGCTGCTGTTGTTGCTGCTGCTGTTGGGGTTGTCGCTGGTGTTGTTGTGTTTGATGATGTTGTGTCTGGTGTTGTTGTAGTTGTTGCTATAGTTGTTGTTGGTGTTGTTTTTGCGAGGACTCTACTGGGGGCCTGTTGCTCGACCCCCCCTTCTCTGAGCAACGCCACGGGGCAACGCAGGGGCTTGCTGGGCCCCTCCCTCGAGCAATGCCATGGGGCCTTGCTGAGCCCCTGCGGGGGCCCCGTAGGGCCCCTGTAGCGTTGCTCGGGGGGTCCCTTCGGGACTGCTGCGAGGCTCCTGGGGGTTGCTCGGGAGGCTTTTGCGGGTCCGCGTTGGATCTGTATCGGATCCCATACGGCGTACGGGATCTGTATGGGGCCCCATATTGGCCGAAGGTTTCTGCCACTTGCCAATTTCATGTTTCGTGGCCGCACTGGGGGCTCAGCCGAGGGCCTCGGGTCCAGTTTGGCACACCCTTCACACGTTTCGTTGCCAAGGTTTCGTGCCAATTTCGGCACACCCCTCACGAGTCGTGGCCCACGTGCGCTTCAACGAAAGTTTCAAAGACTTTTGCACACCCCTCACACGCAATGTGGCCCCACAAGGGAGCTCCACCGAAGGCCTCGGGTCCGTTTCGGCGCACCCCTCACACGTTTAGTGGCCCCAGTGGGCTTCACCGAAAGATTCGGGTCAATTTCGGCATACCCCTCACACGCTTCGTGTCCCCACAAGGGGCGCCACCGAAGGTTTCGGGCCCATTTCGGCACACCCCTCACACGTTTCGTGGCCCCAGTGCGCTCCACAGAAAGTTTCGGACCAAGTCCACAGGGGGCTCCGCCGAAGGCCTCGGGTCCAGTTCGGCACACCCCGCCCGCGCTTCGTGGCCCCCGTGAGTTTCACCGAAGGTTTCGGGTCAATTTCGGCACACCCCTCACACGCTTCCTGGCCCCAGTGTGTGTCACCGAAGGTTTCGGTCCCATTTCGGCACACCTCTCGCACGCTTCGTGGCTCCAGCGGGCTCCACCTGAGGTTTTTGTTCAATGTCAGCACACCCCTCACACGATTCGTGGTGCTACAGGGGGCTCCACCGAAGCCGCGGGTCCAGCTCGGCACGCGCCTCACACGCTCCGTGGCCCCAGTGGGTTTCACCGAAGAGTTCGGGTCAATTTCGGCACACCCCTCACACGCTTCGGCGCCCCAGTGCGCTTCACCGAAGGCTTCGGTCCCATTTCGGCACACCTCACACGCTTCGTGGCTCCAGTGGGCTCCACCTAAGTTTTTGGTTCAATGTCAGCACACCCCTCATACGATTGGTGACCCCACAG